CACCAGTGACAATTCACATTTGAGACAGTATTCTCTTTGAACCAAAACGTTGTATGAGCCTCGTGGTCTCACTTAGGTTTCCTCGCCATACACATCGTTATATCTTACTTAAATTATCATGCGTCCTTATTAATTTTTATCGTGGTGTGGAAAACTAATAAATAAATATTTAGACCAGCGGCATGCGTTATTTTGCCTCGATAAGAAGCCTACGTGAGCAGTAGATTCGGTTTATGCTATGTTGATAAACGTGCGCGACTTTCTAATCCAATCTGATCTAGAAATTACACCAACCGCGACTTGGTCACTCGTGTTTTTCAGAGCACTACAGGTATTTAAAAGGTCTGAGTTCTCATAGGCTCCTTGACATAACTCCCCATGATCTGATTGGAAGTCGTGATTACCTTGACTTTGATTTTACTGAGACTGAATCAACACACAATTTTAATAAAAAGAACGTACTTGCAGACTGGAGACAGTTGCCTGCGCCACTTTCAGGGCTCGTTTTGATTCATAGTCCTCTTCTACTAATCCAGCAGCTTTCTTGGCTTCTGCTGTGATCTCCCCGCGCTCTGACAGAGGGAGACGGAGGCGCAGCTCGTTTATCAGCTACAAGAAAATGAAAAGAAAGTAAAGAAATTATTCTCGCAGGTGAGCAACAATTTAACTAATTGCAGACAAGAAGCGTGAAAAAATTCAGGCTTTGATGAGATTCGAACTCGTGCCTCCTGGATACTAGTTGGACGAAACTAACCACCGAGCTGCGAAGCCACAAGTTGAGAACAGGATGCATTTTAGAGGGTTTTTCTTTCCCAAGGAGGAATTTGATCATAATTTTTACTGAAATAAATTTATTTGACCTGCACATTATAATAAAGAAAAGCAATGATTCTCGCAGTTGAGTTTCAATTTAAAAGCAACTACAGAAAAGAAGCCTGACGCCGTAATATTTATTTCATTAAAAAACATAAAATGAAGATGAAGTGTAATTAGTTGCAGTAATTGTACCCTATTCATTGTCCTCTTGAAAAAAAAAAAAACAAACAAACAAAATAAAAAAAAATCAATGATGAAAAGTTCTAAAACTGTTCTATTCAAACCGAATTCATATTTTCAATATACTTAACCGGTTTTCTTCCTCTGAATGAATTCGTGTACACAAAATTGAATGGTAATCTTTGGGCTGATACTTTAATAAGAAATCAGTCGTAAACAGTTAGTTCATGAGGTTATTTTATTCCTGAATTAACTAATCAAACTACCTTATCTTTCTGGGTCAGCCTTTCTTCTGACTGCTTGAAAGCTTGATCCAGCTCTTCGTATTTCTGCGATGAAGCATTGTTGTTTTTCAATTTGACGTGTGACGACAATATACAAATAGACATGCAATAGACAGCTTTATATACCAACAGAATATACATATCCAAAAGCAATAAAAAAAAAACACCTTATTCGGCTGATCTACTTAACGCTTTCCACAGTTTTGCACATTCTCCTCTCCATAATCCCTTATTTTCTGGTTTCCTGTTCCTTTTTTTAAGTATTGTTACCTTTTTAAGAGCTCTGCTTTCCTCTCTCGTTCCTACAATAATCCTTATGTGCTCCTTTATATTTCTAATCGCCAATTCAAGCTGATTTGCTACTGGAAGATCAGGGTCTGGTATCGAGCCAGTAGCCTCCTCAAACTTAGCAGCTGCGTCTGCTAGTTGTTCCTGTTGTTTTTCTAGCTTGTCAATCGTGCGCTCAAGCTCCACCTCCCTCTGTTCCCATAGCAACTGCCTCTCTTCGTGCTCTTTGGCAAGCTGGACATTTTCATCTTCCAGATCCGAGATGGTGCGTTCCTGAACTTTTGTCATATTTTCCAGGTGTTTCAACTGAAGTAAAGCAAGAAAACGCATGATTGTAATCTAGAAATGAACTAAGGAAGACTGATTTGAGGGAGAACTCAGTTCTCTACAGTTTTTGTATGTGAGTGACCAACCGTCAAACCTAATAGCGCCCAACGAAATAGCATCCAGAGGTCTCCGTTATATCTGAAAGTTTACTTCCGAAACGAGCACAGTTTGCCGGTTAGAAAACCTAACATCGTAATTAACTCCTTTGCTGACACTCAAAAATGCTTTACTGTTCTACACTACAAAACTGTGCAAACATATATATTTCATCAAACGGAAATTGCAAACAAAGCTTCCATTTCTAATACCTCTTCCTGCAACCTGGTAATAGCACGGTTCAGTTTAAGGTCCTGCAGTCGTATTTCGCCCATCTTTGCGTGCCATTCAGTGACTTTAGCTGCCCCTTTGCCATCCTTTAACGTACCCATCAGTTCCTGTAACCCATCGTGTTGAAGCTGAAGCTCAGAAAGCTTGTCTTCAGCTGCTTCTCTGTCGGTTCTAGCTTTCTTAAGCTCTCCTTCAAGCTTGTGCTTGTCTTCGTGTAACGAACGCATAGTCTCGGCAAACTTTTCCTGAACAGAGAGCAAATTGGAGTGGAGGTTAAGCAGTTCAAATTGTACATTTAATCTGACGAGAAACGACAACCTGTAAGATATGTTTCAACTCCTCTTTCAATACTTTGAACATTAATCTTGGTTAAAGGGAGGAGCACCAGTTCCCATCATCATTTTCAATATTTTCAATGTCTATTTTCCAAACTGACCAGATCCCTTTTTTTACATGCGTCAAAAAATGATAAGCCTATACAGCGCAAATGGTTTCAGAGAAAAACAGGTGGGCGAAAACAGATCTTTATCCGTTCCGGGGTAGGTCAACGTGTTGTTATATTGACGTAAATGTGCTTAATTACCTGTTTCATCAGTGGCAGAGCTCCGCTGTACTGCCTCCTCAGATCTTGAATGGTTCTCTTAAGGAACTTTGCCTTGTTCCTGGCCTCCGTCTTAGCGTGATACAAAGCCTGGTCTTTTTCATCGATTTTCCGCTCGAGCCGTAACACATGAGCTTCCTGTCTGGACAGCTTCTGCATAGCAGCTTCCAGTTTCCTCACGGCTGTACCTTCACTCACCTGAAGGGCCACGATATGGTGGTGCAGTTTACCTGAAGATCGTCAAACATATCCTTTTAATATTGATGGAACGTCCAAAAAAATAATTTTTTAAGACGTATTTTTAGTTTAGGATCAAATCGGCCCTCTGCTTTACTTTCTTATCCGCTAATACTGTAGTTAAAGATTAACAATTCTCATTAAAAATGTACAGGTGATTGCTTTCATGGATCAAAGAAGACATGTCGTGTTACCCTCCATGTTACTAACCAAGTCGCAAAGTTAATATTTTAGTTAGTCCCAAAATGGTTTTAAATTTACATCAAATATTTATACCTATAATGGTCTTGTCATCACTCTCCATCTGCATGTCGTAAAGTTGCTTCCTGAGAGATGTCAGCTCTCTGTCCTGTGACTCCTGCTGCGCTTTGATGGCTTCGGTTTGATGCGAAGCCACTTCCGCCACCTCCTTCAATCGTGACACTTCCACCTTTAGCTTAGATTCGGACTCCTCCAGAGACTGGACACGACGCGTGACAGCCACATGAGTATCCTGTGTGACAGAGTCTAAGCGAAAATACAACCACTTAATTTAAAATGCTGTCTAGTGACGGGGAATGTTATTTGGTAACGGTGAATGGTGTGAAATGTCGGGTGACGACTTTGTATGAGCGGAAATTAAGGTTAATGGCGTCATTAGTCCCGCAAATGTACTTTTGTCTATGTTGGGAACCGCGGTGCCATCAGACTTCGAAGAGGGTTGACCTTGAACCTCCTAGATAGCAGTTGGGCGTAACTACGAACTGAGTCACAAGGTCACAAGCTGTGTGACTTCTACAATCAGAGAGACGTCTACATGTCTTAAGTTAACCTTTATGAAAGACATAAGGTGAATAATTACTGGATATTTCGTCCCTAAGCTGCCGCTCAACTCTCTGAGATTCAAGATTCAACTTGCTGATCTGTAAAAAAGAGAGAACTCGTCGTCATCAGAAATTAAATTCCGAGATGGCGTTATGAAATATCTAGGAATGAGACAATTCAGTACACACTGACCTCTGCAAATTTTTGTTCCAACTCTACATTCCTTTCCTCTAGTTGCTTGATAAGAGACTGAACTTGTTCATATTTCCTCGTGGCATGGTCGGCACGCTCTCTCTCATTCAGTTCCTGGTAAAGTTAAGGTTTAGTTGAATCATATATCAACATCAACATCACCGTGATCTACACTTTTCTGGGTGCTTCATCAGTTATCGTGCACCACACAAAGGGATAGGTTGGGTTACCAAAACACAGCTAAACACAGCCTGTATGTATCACGATATACCTTCATTTCTAACGTGGCGAGTTTTCTTGATATCCTGTCTATCTCTTCCTGCCGCACAATGCTGGTGTCTCCTCCACCCTCTCCACCCTCTGAAAAAGCAAAATGTTTCATTTTTCTCAGGTGAAATTTGTTTCACCTACCACAAGAGTCAAAGAGAAACATTAAACGCCGCAGTGACTGACAGAAGGCCAATGAAACAAATGATTTTCGGCAGGTATCAGTGGAATTCGTATCTAATTGAGGAAAGAGGTTATTGTTTTCTTTTACTATGGAAAGAGCGAGTTTTTATCACCCCTACGATTTCGTTAAGATAGGAGCTACAAATCGACAGCGCTAATCTTTGTCACCTTTCGATAGCAGTTCATTCACCATCTGCTCTAAACTGTGGTTTCTTTCCTTCAGTGAGGTCATCTCCCTCTTCAGATCAGCTTCTCTTTCTTCCAAAGCCTTCAAGTCGGCCTGAAGGAAAAAAAAATCCTTAGTAACTTGCAGTGATATGAACAAAGTATTCAGGAGGCTTTCTACATCATAAAACAAGTAGGTCTGATGGGCAAGATCAAGCCATACAATGTCCACTACAGTATGGGTCTTTTGTTTTCAGCGAGAACGGAAGTTTCGCAAGCAAGAGGTACATGTATCAATTTTAAAACGCAGCTTATTGTGGAGTAGCCAACCACACTAAGAGGAGAAACTGATAAATTTAACCACGCATCATTAGTAATAACCACACGGAGACAATTACTTCATTACTCTGATAGATCAAAGCTATGACAAGATCGAAAGGAACCAGCTAGACAAGAAAAGCAGGCTTAACGCTCAATAAATTGCTAAAAGCACTTCATACCTCTAGATTGTCGACTATGGCTGATCGTGCCACGAGGCTGTTTTCCCTTTGTATAACGTCGCGATACTTGGCCGTGAGTTCGTTATACTGTTTGTTGGCTGCTTCTAGTTCTGTTGCAAGAACACTCTCATCTAAAGCTTGCTGTAATACTCCAATCTTGTACGTGGACATTTCCTTAAATATAAGTGAGTTCAACAAAGTATGAAAGTGATTGAAAATACTAAGTCAATATTGTCAGGTTTCAAAGTAATAAAGATGCGTTGTTCAAACTTCATGCACAAGACTACATGCCACGCCACTCTAAATTCTTCTACTATAACAAACGAACAAAATATAGTGTTGAAAATTGAGGAGGATGAAGGTTAAAGACAAAAAGAAACAAAACCCTGAGCATTTCGTACTTTGTGTCTTTGAAGGTAACCCAGTCTCTCGGTAATTGCGGTCTCCATGGCAACAACATCATTTTTGTATCTCTTGTTTTCTTTCCTGAGTGCAGCTTCCACCTCTTGCATGGCCGTGTATCTCCTGCTGAGCGACTTCTCGTTCACTCTCAAAACTGTAACCTTTCTTGTCATTTCTCCAAGTCTCTTTTTCTGCTTGTCCTCGTCTTTTTCCAGGGTATCGAGTAATCTCTGCGGAAAGGAAAGTCCAAAATATCGAACTTCTCCATAAATTCACACAATAAATTAAAGAAATGAAAACAAAAACTGTAAAAAAACGTATGTCTTCAACCAAGAATGTCATTTGAACGAATCAATGAACTCGACTCAGCACCCACACCACCTAATCTGACCCGGTTTCCTGGTGACTTACCAAGCTCCTATTCCCAGAGGATAGGGGCCTGCTTCCAGTCTCTTTACCCATTAGTCAAACCTGCAATCTCAGGTTTGATTTCAGATACCTTCAAGTAGCGCCCGCAATTCTGAATATATTAATTTGTACGCTGTGGTGAAAACCATCTGGCTAAGAACACCATCGAGTAGCGAGGCTCAAAACGCCTGGAGTCATCATACTTCGTCTTACGCGTCCCACGCGTATATCTAAGTATATCTAAGCAGCAGCCCCCATTAAGCGCGAAAATATGAATGGATATTTGTCTCCGGACATGATCTTTTACGGGATGCGAACAGTTCGAGCGAACTCTGAGCTTGGAGGAACAGATCAATTCCAAGGACAAATATTTAGAAAATAAACCCCTTCTGGCGGCTGATATGTCGGCTAATAATCATGTCCGCGGCCAAGATATTTTCCGAAAAAATAAAATGAATATAAGGCCGAGAGGCGAAGCTTCGAGGGAAAAAGGAGAAAATTTTAAGACAATCTCTCAGCCAAGGACATATGAGCCGACATGCCAGCCGCCAGAAGGGTGTTCATTTGTTTTAAACCCCCCCCCCCCTCATTAATTTTTGTATCGGCTAGTTGACAGCTTATTTTATGGACTTTTTTGTACTTTCCGGTGCAGTATTTAAGAACAGATTTAAGAATGTTACTATCACTGGACTCTAAAAATCGAGTTCGTTTTTCTTACATGTAAACTAAAAACGATGAAACAGTGCAACTTTTGAACTGGCTTTTTTCCGCTGGCTTTCTTTATTTACGACGGAAATATTCGCTGGACAAATATCGACGCAAACGCGGGTTACTGCGTAATAACTGCCCGGTAATTTTGCACCACGTGACGAAAAGGAGCCGATGGAATCGCGCAAAATCTAATAGATGGGCAATAAACGAGCATAATCTCGCACCAAAAGGAGGCCATTGTGTTATTATCAACGCACGGGAAAATTGAGCATAATCTCGCACCAAAAAGAAGCCACTGTGTTATTATCAACACGCGGGAAAAATGTTTACGAACAGCTAACCGTGTTCTTTTCAATGTTGCCTGGCTCGATTAAATGAACAAAAAAACATGTTCCTTCAGTAACAACAATACAACACTTTCTCATCTTGAATTAAATTTTAGGCGCAGAGTTTTCGGACGTAATGATTGAAAACTGGGGATTATCTTTTGGGGTGTATCCTCGGATATCCCTCAGTTTTAGCTAGGGGATGCTCAGTCGCGTCATGCGTTTAGACCAATCGCGCGCGGGCAAAAATATTCAATAGATTATAAGCTCCCTTGTTCATTGAATATGACAAATGTAAAGCAATCAGCGACATGTCGAATTTGGGGTTAAATCCTTACATTTGGTATATCTATAAATATAAAAAGAACTTTTTTATCTTCTACGTAGGGAAGAATAGCAGAATTTAGCGGAAATAGTACCTCGAATTCCATGAGCCTGATTTTATCGTGTTCTCTGGCAAGTTCAGTTGAGGCCTTATCTTCTTCGATCGCTTTCTTCTCCTCCTCCCAATTCTCTTTTTCTTTCATAAAATCAGCATAAAGAAGCCCCTATGAAACAAAACAGAATAAAGGTGAAGTATAAAAACAGCTCAGATTGTATGAAATAAAAAAGTCACATTGTTGATTTGTTTATTTTACTTGCGCGGAACTCTGGGAGTGAGTTTTCGTGCGCCTCACTCCTCGAGTTATGCATCACCCGCTAGATCAATTTTTTTTATCACTGATGTTTTTCCCCCTTGCGAAGATATTTTGCCGAAAATGAGGTACTGTTCGTAGTCTATGGTTTGCTTTCTTGTTTTTCCTTTTCATCGAGGTACAAAACGCCTAATACCTTCTCTTAAGATTATCAGACCCGTAATATTCTTCCCAGAATAGTTTTGTTCGAGATGTCAGTCAACCAAGCCCAGCCCTCCCTTCCCCGTCACCCCTTCCTTAGCATTTGGGAGTTAGGGTTGATGGACTGACCATTCAGGCTGGGAAAACCAGATGGGGAGTTAACCAACCTTTTGGTGAAGAATGACCGAGAATTTCCTCTTGAACATCTCAAGATCCTTCTCCATTTTCTCCAGTAGTTGCTCTTTCAGGGAGACTTCCTTTATAAATTGAATTAAGGAAACATTGTGATTATATTGCATGTAAACTGCCAAGAAGCAAACATAATAGACAAATAAATAAATAAATATATAAATAAATAATAACTCAGGTTCATGAAAGCACAAATAAATAAAAAATATGAACGCGAGTTCATGAAAGCTGCTGATAAAAGTATTTAGAGCTCTATTTGTCACCTGAAGTACTTGTATAAGATGCTCGTTAAGACTGGCGATGATCTCTGTTGAAGACGGTGTCATTCCCTGCGGCAAAGGCATGGGTTGTAACTTAACGGCGCCTTCACCTTAAGTTGCAAACATATCAAAGTAAATTATAGTCATAACAGACAATCTGTCCTTAATTTAACTTAAAGCTTCTTTAAACGAAGAACTTACCTATCTCTTTCAACACTTTAATATCTTTTTCAAGATCCTCGATCTTTTGTTGTGGAAGAAAAAAAAAGAAAACAATGAAATGAATAAACAAATAAATGAATAAATAAATCATAACAAAAAATTTGCAATCAAAGACACACTCAATTTCAGCATCATTTTAGCTAAGTGGTGTTTTTATGCCCAGGTCCCCCTTTTTCAATGTTCACTTTAAACTCTTTGACCTCGTATTCGCTATCACCCTTGTTTGGGTGAGGAGGGATACTTAACTCACTCACACGTACGTGTAACAAAGAAAGGAGTTAGAGTTGTCCTGTGAATGTTTTGAGGGCGTCTATGGGACTTTGGGTAATGACTGCGCATTCATCTCCAAAAGACGTTGAGCAGTTCAAATCTCAACAAAATAGATTTCTCACAACACCGTTTACTACCTTGGTCTTTTTCCTCTCCAACTGCATAATGGCTTTAGCTGTTTCTTCTCGGGCATTATGCAGTTCGTGTCGGAGTTCTTCATTCCTCCCACTTAGTTGTTCGATCTAAATCCAAAAGAAGAACTTACAGCTTGAATGATATTACATACGTGTTCACTAAAGACGAACAGGAAAGGGAACTTACCTGAGCTTTCAATTGTAGTGTTGTGTCATATTGACCCACTGCATTTCTAGATTCTATCATCTTTATGGAAAACAAAAAAAATTAGAATGGAGATTTACAGTTCAGTTTCCGAAAGGCAACAAAAAAGATAAACCGTATATCAAACAAATTCAACTAATGAACGATGGAAGCGTAACTTACAGCCATAAGCTTTTCTAAGGCTGGTACTTGTACTAATTTATTTTCCTCTGCTCCTAAAACGAGAAAAAAAATCAAGTCATCAAGCTTTTTCTTTTCTTTCAAAAGCTTCGTGGGTAAATCATGACAAATCGATCTCTTGTTACAAAACACTCCACAGGGAGGAACTATAAGCATCCGAACAATAAAAAGACGAGGAAATACTTCATCAACAAATGGGTTTAGGGAGGTACCAAGACAAATTTTGCTTTTACTTTTAATTAAAACATCTGGCAAACCCACAAAACGAACCTTGTGCTGCAGCATGTTCTCTCAGCTGTGCTAAAATCTCCCGCATCCCAACTTCCAACTGCTTATTCTCATCTTTAAGTTCCTATGCACAGGGATCGAAATATAGGCAGGTAAGGACTTTTAAGTGCTGTGTAGTTCACCCGTTCAATTATTCTCCTGCTTAAGTCTTGCAGGATCTACACGTCACTGTATTTTGCTTCGTCTCCGGAAAATATTGTACTGAATATCAAATTAAACAAGAACTTGAAAGACATGTCGTTTGTCAGTTTGACTACAACTAAAAAACCACGAATCACCTGAAAGGGAATAAAACGACTAAAAAAAGTACAGATTAAGTCCCAAAAGTGATTAACATGCAACTTCTCCCTATAACATCCCCCTTCTATTTTGTTCGAAAAAGTTTTAACCTGATAGAGAAGTAAAAGTAGAAAGGGAGAGAAACAGGGATTCGAAGATTCAGGGTTATTCAGATCTACCCAAACAAAAATTGTTATCATAACTGGCCACTAACTTCTCTGTACCTTATTTTCAGTCTCGATCTTCTTCATATCAGACTTGTACTTTTCAATTTGTTTTTCGTTCTTTTCTACTTCTCCTTCCAGCCTCTGGTTCTGAAAAACAAACAATCAAACAAAAAGGTCATCTACAA